TGCATATATCACTGATTCCAACGGTGTGCTGAAGACGACTACAACCAGTGATTTGAAATCCACCATGCGCGACAGCTCGGGTGCTAACGAACTGATTGTGTGTCGTTATACCGGGAACAAATCTCATAAGAAAAAAGAGCGGCAGTTGTTAAAAAGACGGAACGACGATCGAAACGAAATACGCTGAGGAGAAAACCAACTGCGGCAACTGGACAGAGTCAACATAACGACATCAACGACAAACGTAATGAACAAATACACGACTGGACTAGACAAAAGACAATCAGTGTCACATGCGAGGACGCCAAACAGGGGCTGTTCACTCCATTGGCAAGCCTTCACACATAACAGAACAGGTTCGAGCGGTACAGGTGCTTCGCTCAAAATACCAAATCCTTCTGTAGAAACAACTAGAGACAGAAAACACCCTGGCAAATAATGCCGAGGCCGATGATCCTAACGCGAAACAATCGCTTAATTTATGCAGAAGAATACGGAAGGGTGACGATGTCTACAACAAAGATGCTAGCTGAGCAAATACCATGGAAAAGTCCTCTGAACAAGGACAGGCAACAATGGTAAAAAAGAATGGCGCTCAGACGAATGAAACACCGAGGCAGCGTGAGGAACGGATCAGGAGTGCGCGCTCCGGCTTAAAGAGCTACGAGGCTGCGCTCACGAACAACAGTACTCTTGCAGAGAGTGCTTGAACTAACACAGTGCTGATGGACGAGGACAGGGATTTCGCCAGATGACCGATTACAGCCCAGTCATGCGCCTTTCATCGAACTGGAAACTCCTTACGTTCATACTGGCCAATGCAGTTTGCGACCGTTTCGCACATTTCCTGAAGAAGATGGGTTCCGGACGAAATCGCGAAACCCCAACAACCAGCTACTCATTTGGACTAGGGACCACATCAGAAAAATGAGAACGACCAACATGGCCATAGGCTGGATCGAATTCAGGAAAACATCTGGTCTAGTAGAACAGAGTCGGACCGTGCAATGCCTGAAGCTTTGTTACTTAAACGACGGCCTTGCGACGTTCTTCGATGCAGTTACGAAACTGTAGCGAACACCATTGCGATGACGCAAGGCCTGCATGGGATCGTGTAAATGAAGAGTGGAATCGTCCAGAAAGATGCAATGTCGCCAGTATCAGTTATTTGGCAGTTAGTTGCTGAATAAAACCTGGGAAGCACATCAAAAGAGAAAGATCCGGAAGAGTGACGGAGTAAAACGACTGGTAAAATAAACAGATCGACAGAACGAAATGGCAACAGATATCTCGGAGTACTTGAAAAAATTCAATTAACGATAATGACCGTATGCAAGAAGAAGATCTGTTGGATGTTGAAGGAAAAAAATTATTCGTCATTAAGCAACTTGCGGTACCAACGGCTGATGCAGGAGACATCGCCAAATGAACGAGAACGGCAAGGCTACAATGGATAGGAGGAAAACGAAAGATATTGAACTGTCTGAATAGGCACGTGGAAAAGAAGGTACAGACAGAATGAAGAGAGCTTTGTCATCCAGAAGGCAATATCTGACAATGTTTGATAAAGTTCAACGGCGTGAGCAAACTATAACATCAATCCGCTGGAAATGCAGTATATCGCTAGGAAAATGTACAGAACTCCCGATA